ATGAGGAGCTTAGAAACTAACCTTCCGTGAGCCGGATGAACCACCCTGCAGAATCAACAATTCTTTCATGGCCACACTGCCAGGCAGATCGCACAGAAGCTTCCATAGAAGTTGTCTGGCCTCGATCGAACAGGAATTCGCACCGGTTGAACTGTTTGCGGGTGCCGTCGAATAGCCGACTTGCATCAATGCGGCAATCACATCGCCGAGGAATAAGGCTGGTGAGGCGAGACGTTTCAGCTGTTCTGTACGACAGACACGAAACTGAAGAAGGCACTTAGCAACCTGAATCGGTAGTGAACAGGAAAAAACACGTGAAAATTGGGAGCGCGCGGAGGAGGTTAACGTGTTTATAGCAAACCCGTGATCAAATGAATTTGAGAAACAGCTGTCTTATACCTATTCCGCTCCTAGCCCAATCTCTCACCCGGACATGCTGAAAAACTATTCGAACGTTCAGCAACCTTTGCGACATTGGCCACGATGGGATCATATAAACAGTTCCTCTGGTCAAACATGGGGCTGGTGTTTATCACATCGCTAGCGATCGCCGTATCTGTGATGCTCCCTACCTTACACGCACACATGAAAAAAAAACGGAAAATCTGAATTAGCAGTTCGTTTTCAGGACTAGAAAAAAAAGATAAAAATCCGCATTGATGACGTGTTCACATACAAAAAGAGCGCAAGTTATACGGCTGGCAGGATAGCATATTAAAGGCTCGCTACAAAGCATTTGTATGAAGGCACCATGTCCTTAGCCTACAAATTTCTAACGTTATTTTTATGTGACCATCTCTTGTGTGAGGTTAGTCTGGGTTTCTTGGATGTCTCTGCTGATCGTGGTTAGCTATGCGTGACGATCAGTAGTGGTAAGGTTGGCCCATCATGTTGCGCCAGTTTTGGACACCCAAAGCTGACTGAAGACCTAGGCCATCCACGTTTGACTTCAAGTTACTGTCTTCAGTTGACCAGCAAAGTGGTACTTCCAATGTGGATAAGGTGCTTCCGATAGACTTTTCCTCGTAAGTTCTGTTTCTGACTGGTGGAGAATATTACCGAACGACTGAAGACGAGGTCGTGGGAGAAACAATGACAGCTCCTTTACAACTTCAAACCGTGACGGATTAGACTTGTAGTCTCCAAAAACTAACTGGAATGACAACGCTTCCAAAACGCAAACGTCATTCTCACGTTGTTAAGTTGATGCTACATGTGATACTTGATGAGTCACACCAGAATGCGAACTGGTTGTTTGCGAATAATACGTTAGTACAGCAATAAGATAGCGGGAAGTGAGGAATTTTTATCCATCAACCATGATCAAATCTCTGCATTATCACTTTCCTATTATAAATCAGCGTGTGTCTGAACCAGGGGCACTGATACGGGGACGGTCAGCAAAATCGGTGACAAGCCGGCTTCAAGCCAACTGGATAAGTGACCGCGAACATGATGGATTTTTCCTCACGATAGTCTCATGATGATGATGATGATGATGATGATGATGATACAATGTCTTCAATCAGACTATCGTCCCTTAATCCCGTTCAATCTACTCGACAAGGTTTTCCATACGAGTTGAACGAATCAAACTACTGGCTAGCTGTTTGTATGAAATAACTCTGCTAACCTGCATGTTGTATGTGCAAAGGTCAGACTTGTGAGTTCGAATAAAAAAACCAATTGGTTCTAGAAAGAGCGCTTGTAACCGCTTCTCTCACGGACCTTTATGAAGTCAACTTATGCTGAAGCACATGAAATTAAGTGAACGCATAAGTGAGAGGGTTCTGCGAATCTGATGAGCTCGTGTTTGAACGACTCTCGGTGCTTTGACGAAAAGTAATGCAAAATCCCGGTAAATAATAATTTTAAACAAAACATAGTTTATCCGAACTGGGTGCACCTATCTACAATGCAATCGCGGGTAGTGTTAGGGGGTGAAGGGGGTGGGTGGGACGAATCAACAGAGCACTTTGTGTCGACAAAGAACAGTCGAAGAAAGGAAACCTCGTCTACACTAGTACACGATGAGTGCAACTCACACGTAACAAATTCTGCTCGCGTGTAATGGACGAACGGACCGGGGGCAGTTGGAAATAACTGTGCGCTTCCATACGCAACTCTAGAGGAATGGATACACCCGGATCGAGGTACGGATAGACTCCAAGACAGATGAGAAACTCCACACAACTTTTTAATTTTTCTAAATGTGAAACACTCAACAGCAGTTCTTCTTCTGTGTGAATTGTATTGTCCAGTTCCAAATAGGCTTGAAGATGGAACAAGCAACAGGTGCAATATGCTTCGTGAACTTCTTTGCCGGCAATTGTTCGGATAAGACTGTTATTGGTATGTGACACTGCAAGGAATTTTTCTATGCAGCTGGCCAAGGTCGCATTGGGACCAGTTTTGTCCACAGATTTGGGCGGAAGCAGAGCAGTTAGTGCATCAAACAGTTGCCGAGTCATACCGTGTAGAGATTTACCGTTGTTCATCGGTTCGTATTGTGCTGAAATATAGAGAAAGTGAAACATACAGTCAAAAAGTAGCCTTTTGTTCTCCCCGGGGAGCGGAAAGTTGGCTACGGATGCAAATGGTGCTATTTCTGCTATTGTTGTGAAGCGGGTTCGATATGGGGGGAAGACCGAACTACCTGAAATGTTTAGGGTAACTTGAATACGTAAGAATTTGCGTTTCAGTCGGTAAAACACGGTGGAGGAGTAATTGATCCAAGTAAATGGGCCTCCACTTTGCTTCACTCGCTGCCTTGCGGCGAGGTTCTTGTCAGAACTAAAGGCTTTGGTTTGAAACCTTGATTGTTCTCCTGTTTTGTTGTTCTGTTATTTCCCCAATTAGACTGAGTCTGGGTGCTAGACCAACCCAATCTTGTAGCGGCATTTTACACTTCGAAGGTGCAAAAGGCATACCGAACATGGCTACACTAGTACTTAAACTATCCAGAAAAGCTTGTAACTTACTTGGATCTTCACGCAGTAACACAATGTCGTCTACATACTCTAGATCAGACAGTCTGCCACCTGGTAGTAAATCGATACCGCTATCTTCGCACGAGGATAGGGCTGTTTCCATAATCAGATCTATAACAAATTTAAACAGAAACGGAGGGAGAGGACAACCCTGTCGAACTCCACTTTCCGTGGTGAACTCGGGCGAAAAGATGCCGTAAGCTCGGACTCGGCTTCGACTATTAGTATAAAGGGATCGTAAAATTGAAATAAACTCCTCGGGCACACCCTTTGGGGAAACGCAGCGCCAGAGTTTAGAGCGGTCGATTGAGTCGAAAGCCGCTTTCAGATCGAGGAAGATAGAAATTGTGGGTCTGCGAAAGGAGTGTCTGTGTTCTAGAATTTGACGAAGTGTGAAGATGTGGTCGATAAAACCTCGAACGGGTCTAAAACCAGCCTGGTTCTCACGCGTGCACCGTTCACGTGCGGCAGACAATCGGCAGAGTATGATACCAGCAAGAAGTTTAAAGATAATGTTGACTAAACTAATTCCCCTGTGGTTTTCACAAGAGGATGTGTCACCCTTCTTGTTAATTCAGTTAGAATCTCTTCCCTTTCCCACACTGAGTCCAGGAGTTTTGTTAACTCCAAAGCCAAGGCTAGAACTCCATCCTTGAAAACCGATGGGAACAGCCCGTCGGGGCCGGAAGCCTTAGGCCGTTTGAGATAACTTATCTCCCGGGTAACCTCTATTTCAGATGGATGACTGGTGTCAACTGACAGTATTTGCACGATTGAAGCGGGTAGAGGAGGTCTGGTGTCGACGGGGACCAGCTGAACTGTGCCTTAAAATGTTCTGCCTAACGTTCAAGACAGCGTTGGTGAGTTTGAATCAGTGTGCCGTCAGACTCCTTAATTACCTCATTCACGCCTATTCTCTTTGGTCCTATACTCTTAATTAAAAGAAAAAGGTTGTGACTATTACCAATAGCCGCAGCCTTCTCCATCTCTACACTTCTCTACCCACCACTTCTCGTGATCATCCCCCAGACTCTTGGTGAGTTGGCGTTTAAGGGATTAGCAGGCGTTGTCGTATTTTGAATCCGAAGGAATGTCTTTATGAGCGCCCAGCAAGGCAACCGAGGTTGAGGAGATCCATCGTTTTTTATTTGATCGTGCGCCAGAATTTGCCATTGTTTTGATCAAAGTTTTGATCGCTTCCTTGATTGTCGTCCAGTGTTAACTGAGTCCTCCGGCTGATGGTTGAGCTGAGGGGCGATCTGATAGTTCCGCTTCGAAGGCCGATTTTCAACTGTCGCTGATACTGTATTCTGGGCATCCGTTTTCGGTGGCTTTTCTGCGGTTGTTTATCAGGCGTAGGGAGAATCTCGCTCGTAGCAGAGCATGGTCCGTGTCCACGGGTATTGAACAGTAGGAGCGGTAGTCCTCAATGAATCCACGCCAGCGATGGCTGATGGCGATGTGGTCGATTTAAATCCAGCGCTATGAAGGTAGAGCGATTGCACGGCACTCTATGGAAAGCCATCACATTATTGCTGAAGCCTCAACAACGGGACATTTCTCAGTGGGAAAGTGTACTTATGGATGCTCTGCATTCTGTCCGCCATCAACAAGACACCTCATGAAAGATTCCTGAAGTTCAACCACAGGCCCACCACTGGTATTTCCCTTCTAAAGTGGTTATCGAATCCAGTTCCTGTTTGGCTAAAAAGGATGGCACGATCCTCGAAAAATGACTCTTTGGTGGAAGCGGTAGAACTAGCAGACTGCAACCCTCAGTATGCTTGTATCCATTTCCTAATGAAACACAGGAAACCGTTTCTCAGACATCTTGCTCCAAAAGTAAATGGTACAGATAACTCCCATTCAGACAAAGCGAACCAACGTATCAATAAGGATGACCACTTGCAGTCGTATCCCGAGACCAACTCTTCACAACCAGAAACTCCACATTCACAGCTCCTGGCTAACCCCCTCCCCCGAAACGAAGTCAGCCACGCAGCCAGATTTTCAAGACAACCTGCAACAGCACAACGAAAAAGAACGTGTTCACCCGTACAACCTGCGGAACAAATAGGCTTAAAATGAATCCCCAAACATCACTGGCTTCCTGTTCCGAGGGGGAGAATGTCATAAACTGATGTGTTACCGCATTCCGCATTGAACTATATTAATTCCATTTCTTCTATCTTACCTATTTTACTACAATTGTTATAAGATTCAAGCCTTCATTCGGCCAGACTCCTCATCCCGATTACTTAGCATCGTTCGAATATAACACTGAGCACGTATTAGGTTTGAAGTAATTCACTCTCCGACACACTGGATTAACAGGTAATGGTTTAACTGATCCAGCTGTTCGTCCCCGTAGTGAATGAGATTTAAGGTATGATCGTGTTACCCGAAATCAACCGCCTGCCGTGTATTGGTGGGAGCGGTGGGTTAAATCCTGCATGTTACGAAAGCATCTTACTAAGGTACCTCCGTTTTTTTACGAAAAATGAGGTAAATTAGAAATATTTGATATATTTTAGCCTTGATCGAGGTCGTATCGATTATATTTTCACTCTTGACCAAAGTTCTTTTCGTAGACCCACCAGTTGTCGATCTGAAAGCGGCTTTAGACCCAGTCGTTTGCTCTAAACTCTGGCGCTGCTTTTCTCTGAAACGTTCTGTTCATACGGCACTTTTTCGTCCGAGTTCACCACAGAAAGCAATGCTCGTCATGATTGCTTTCTCTCTTCCTTTCTATTAAACGTTCTTATACATTTGATCACAAGGTCTCACAACCGTAAAGCAGAACTGATCGTACAATGGCACAGCATAAACGACTTTTCAACTTCAATGAAAAGTCACGTCGCCACCACAGGTGTTTGAATCCTGTGCACGCCGCTCGAGCCTTGGAATTGAGGGCGGTTATCTCCTTTGATGCTCTACCGTCTTTGGTCACGCAGCTACCTAAGTACAAGCAGTCAACTTCAGCTAATACCTGACCGTCCAGTATCAGAACGGAATTCCGCGACACCCAGTTTTGTAGCATCACTTTGCACTTTGAAGGTGCAAAGCACATGCCGAACGGAGCGACAGAACTTGTTAATCTGTCAAGTGTGTTTTATGCGTCCTCCGTAAGTTCGAACAGGCACACGATGTCGTCAGCGTAGTCCAAATCGCACAGCTTTTCTACAGCTTTTTCTTATTACATACATTTGTGTGATGAACAGCAGACTGGGCGAACCCCATAGTTACGAAGACCTGCTGCTCCGTTATGGAAACCGGTAATCTAAGCCCGGGACTTGGAGTGGCGAACCACATAAGGCCCCGATAGGTTAGGTGTGATATTGAACCGGACGACAGCAAAGCTGTCTACCACCAAAATTGGGTGGCGGTGGCGGGGCTCGAACCTCGAACCATGGGGTTCAAAGCTTGCCAGTGACAGCGACTANGCGACTAAACCACTGCGCCAGTACCACCCCACCATTAAATATCTACATTTTGGAGACCAATTATCGTGTTCTCCAGTATTTCATCTGTGACGAAATTGAACAGGAATAGCGAAAGTGGGCACACCTGACGAACACCGCTCCTAGTTACAAACTACCTACTCAGCTCGCCGTAGATCATTACGCTACCAGTGAACTCAGTATTTTCACATACTTCTGGGGTATTCCTTTGCGAAAGAGCGAACCCATAAGGGACTCACGACCAACTGAGCCAGACTCCTTTAAGGTCAAGGAACACGACAACCGTTGGTCGGTGCGTATGGCGTAGCTCGAGGACTTGACGCACGGTGAAAATTTGGTCGATGCAACCTCGCCCTGGTCGAAATCCTGCTTGTTGTTCGCAGATATTTGTCTCTCTAGATGGTGTCAGACGTCGAAGTATGAGCGAGGCACTTTGGTGACGATCGGGATTAAACGAATCCAGCGGTGGTTTTCGCAACTGTTGCGAGATCCTTTCTTGAAAATGGGAATAATCATTGATTCGCTTCAGGATGACGGAATGTGCTCGTGTGAGCATATGCTACGCATTAGATTAGAAATGGAGTCTACGAGGTCATCGCCCCCACCCCCAATCTTGAAAAAGCGGGGGGAGCAAGTGGTCAGAATGCCCTAGGTGGCAATCATGAGTACAAGAGTCCAATGGCTGACAGTCAGCCAATCAAATGTACGGGATCAAATCAGTAATAATACGAGGGACGGGCACAATGAACGTGTGTTTAGTTGAGTTTAGTCTTTACAACCGGTGTGGGCTGCCGTGAAGTATTCCATGCCATAAGGTCTTAGGTACCCATTTGGAAAACCATCTTTCCCATCTGTTTAGTCCTTCTCAATCCCGAATATTCCCAGGTGTCTCCTGTTTGCGAAACACGTGTGGGCGTGCATGTGTGTCAATCAATGGACCAGTGAATGCCAAAGGAGTTACAAATAAGGATGGACCGATGGGTGCCAAACGATTTGCGAATAAGGAGAGCGTGGATGGATGGGGGGCGAACAAATAAGTGGAAAAGG